ATCTGGTCTTGTGTTGTCACACTAATGCAGAAGTTCCTCCTCAGTAAGGAATCCAAACAGAGGCCCTTCATTTGTAAAAGGCCTGCACTCTGCACAGAAGTTCATCTTTCTCTGGATTCGAGGAATTCAGCAGGAATAGATACTTGTAATAGATTTGCCCTCTAAACCTACATAAACATCAAAGACAGAGACATATGTGTCTCTGTACACGCATACAGCATATACATATGTGTACATAGATATATTTCTCTCTGTCTGTGATGTTTGTGTAGGCTTAGAAGGCAAATACATCTAATTCTGACCACAGAGCTGCTCTTGGTGGACCAAACTTGCAGTGTCAGTGATATGTGTAAAAGCCCCAGCAACTCCACTTTGCCAAGAACTTGAATAATGTCTAGTCAGCAATGGTCCTACGGTGGTCTGTTTCTGTTGATGAATGGGGTCGAGGTAGATGTAGGTACAAGATAGATGAACCTTATAAACCAATTCAGCGTATATGGACCATTCTACCAATACTTCAAACTGCAGGCCCACACTAAAATTAGAGAAGTATTCAGACTTTAGATATTTCAGATTATGTTATGATCCACTTAAACCCAAGGAATTAATTGAGATAGAAATAAGATAAATAGAAAATATTTTCTATTGGCAGGTAGCTGCACCAAAACTACCAAAAACAAAGCGTTTTAGTCCATAGGCGGAGCTTTATTTCACCCACACCCCTGCATTTTTAGAGCAGGAAGTGTGACTGCATGCCTGTTCCTCATGGCCACATGGTGAGCAGTTAGATCTCATTGTTGTGAAAAAAAGTGTCCCAAAATCTGAAAATCAGTGTGTAACTGTTACTAATGAAACACATATGTTCTGCAATTAAGAAAACTTTTTTGTGTTTTAGTGAAAATATTATGATTTTATGTATGTAATACTGTTCAAAGCTGTGCTTTCTAGTCATGTAAAATTGTCACTACCGCGACAGTCACTACTGAAACATTTGGTCAAATTTAGGTAGTGTTCTGATTGTTTTGTTAGTGACAAAATGGAGTGTTCATTTTTTTTAATTTTACTAGATCAACTACTTCCTGTTGTCCGACTACAAGCCAAAACAAATAATACATACATAATGTTAACACCACAGAAAATAAAACATATCTTTATTTTTAAGCTTTTTCTCTTCATCTTCTCTTTTTCCTCTCTGTATTTTGGCTTGAGATATGTATGTTCATTTTTGAGACATGGTAAACCAGTTGCACTTTTCCCCTCACTAGAGCATCTTAGACAACATTCAGTTACACAGTAGTAACTCAGAAGTTCCAGGAGGCCCTAAGCAGCTTTTTATGTCACTTAGGTAGAGCCAGCACTGACCTCATTCACCAGTGGAAACAGGCCACCATAGGTCCACTGGTGACATTATTTGCGTGGTGGATCAATCTCAGCACAACAGTGACACTGATATGGTAGTGGCAGGTTAGTGTGTGTTGCACTGGCTTATGTTTTAGATACATCAGTGTTTTTGAACCTTTTTAACACTGTGTACCATTACTGGCTATCTTATTAGACACACCTACCTTGTAGATCCATCTTGCTGGTGTAAAGTTAGAGACTGCAACCTATCTATTCATGCACAACTTGCACTAGGTTAGTTCCAGATGTGGCAGATTAGGGTTGGAGACTCTGCAGGACAGCAATCTCCAGGACCAGGGTTGGTGACCACTGGAATAGATGATGACAGACCAAAGTGATTGGCGTGATTGGCTTCACTCTCTCTGGGTGGGTTGGATAGCCCCCCCTAATTGCTCAGTAGGATGCTACCTAGTGTGGGCATCTGGGAGAAAATTGGGGAAAAATACAAAATATAAAAACGTCACCTCTATGATAAAGCTAGTTTCTGGGGATTTTTAACAGAATGTTAACACTGAATTAATACTGTTGCACATGAACATTTTTTGGCCATTCTAGATAAAACATGGCCATTTGAGGCTTGAAAAAGACATTCTGTGTTGTATATTTGAAGCTTGTAATCCACAATAGCATGTATTTAAGTCTGTATGTAGTAGTTTTACATTGACTCTTTCAATAAAGAGCACTAGCATAGAGCTGCCAATGTTTTCCATTTCTAACATCTGACTGAAACCTAGTTAGGGTATAACTTGTATTCATAGTCAGTGACATTTTTCCTAACTTAAATAGGTCCCACCAACCAGAATGTGATTGGCTGATTCCATTGTCAGTTCCTCTTATTTGGTACTTAATCTAATGTGCAAGGCCTTCTGTCCAGCTCCTGAAGGCCTAACCAGTGGTAGAACTAACTTGGCTGTATCTACCTAGATACCATGAGGGGAAAAACCTGATTGGATAATTTTATGTTGGGTGTTTTAAAATGTTAACCTTTTTGTTTCCAAAAGTGGCATCACTACATTACCTGCAGAACTTTAATGTAACATTCATTTTTTTGTTGTCAAAAATTGTTAAGCCTTTTCTTAAGTCCTAGAACACCCTGATACCCTATAATTGTAAAGCTACACCTGTATAAATGGCCAATGTGTATTTTATGTATTTCATGTACTTTGGTTATTTTGTACACTCCTTGTAGGTTTACTCTGCCAATAAACCTACAAGGAGTGTACAAAATAACCAAAGTACATGAAATAGGATTCAAGGACTGAAGCTGTGTGATGTTTATACTCGATACTGTGTGATGCGCCTGTGATGTTTATGTTTAGTAGTCTAATCTAATTAAGGCCATCTGCATGTAAAAAACACCATATGCTGGTGGCAGACATATAAAAATGAAAGGGAGACAGAGCTATGCTTCATTCTTCCTTCTCTATTGTGCTAAGCTGAGCTGTAACATGAACTTAATGATCAGGCTTTTGTTTAAACTTCACCAACACAATTTGTGCTTTTCTTTTTTCTCCCTATCTATTTAAAGATACTAAGCTGGACTTTTTTGGTAATTTCTTGAAGCCACAGTTTTCCATTGTGTGTGCGTACTGTTCTTTTTACAGTTTCAAGCATTCAGTGTTTGCATGCGCTGACCAATAATGATTATATAAAAATTATAAGATTATGTTTTATAGTCACATTTGACATGAAATATTGTATTTAGGAACAAAAATAATGGCGAAAAAACCTTCAGAATCACCTTTTATCCTGTGTTGTCTTAATGTTTTGACAGATCTTCTTACAGAATGACAGGATTAGATGTACTCTGACATTCTTTGACATTGTTAAACAAAACATGATTAATCATGTTAGTTAATCATCTGGCGTTTACTTCCTTTGAGTTATGTTAACTGTTCAGGAATGATACTAAGATCGCTGTCTTTTCCCGTCGCGCTGGTAGTATTTTGTGGTTGTAATTGTATTATCCCAGTTGACATGTCAGTAACAGGGTTTAGATTACAGTCAGCTAGCTGTGTGTTTTGTAATGGGACGCCGCTCTGCTAACCTTTGTGCTGGAGCCCGTGAAAAGCAGCCAAACTCTGAGCTACTGTGTCAAGACTGGTGGAACTGCTGTATTTTTAGAAACACAGTGCAATAAAGAAGGATATTTAAAGCTTGAGATAGATCACCTCACTGTGTCTGATGATTTATATTGCTATTTATGTCACCTCCTTTGTGGATCAGCCACATTTTATAGCAGCTTTCATCAGATCTATGAAGATTTCACACAATGCAGAGCTGTCATAACAAAACGTGTCTCTAAAATGATAACCTCACCAGAGAAGCAAAAAAAATTTTTTTAGAAAACTGAAAAATAAGTGCTTAATGTAATATGGGAACATTATTAAAGTTTCAAACCCTACCATTCACTCTGCAATTCAGACAGTCCATATTTAGAAACGAAGCTGCAACTCAGCCTACAGCAGTTTAGCCCCGCCCACCTATGTTGAAGTTACAAGGAGTGTTTCAGCCTGGACTACTTTTTGAATGAGGCACAGTACAGGGTAGCCAATCAGAACAGATATCATTTACATAGATCAGTATTAAAGGCACAGTAACAAAAACAGCTTGTTTAAATATGTTGGTGTTGAAAATACTGTTGTTTCGTGCCTCATAGCGGTTTGCAAATGATGGTGGCCTTCAGCCATGGAAATCTTGTCATGGCGACAACATTAGCGGTGAAAATGGGTGATTATCAGAGAACAGCTGTAGCACGATGATGCCTGAATTAAGGTAAATTAAAAGACATGAGGAGGCTCTACAATTTTAATTTTTTTGTTTTATAATATCGGGTGATACTGGATTCCAATGACGGGATGTTCAGCATTCATGACTTGCAAAAAAATCAACGTTCAATTTATTCCACCAGTGCAGCTGACGACACAAGTTGGGAAAATTGAACACTTGACGAAACTTTCCACTTATCGCTGTGGTCAGTGGAAAGTTGCCGCTGGCAGTGGCAGAATTTTCCATCGCTGCTACCTTTGAAAACAATGGAATATCTGGCCATTAACCATCCACCACCAATCTTAGGGATACACGCAGCATTAGCGATAAAGAGAGATTTGAAAATGGTGATGTACAAATTACTTACGCCTGTTTTTGATACATAAAGCTTTTTAAAGGATGTTTATATGAAAAAATTCACACACTCACACACTCACTCATTCACTCACTTCTTCACTCATTTCTTTACTTATTCCTTTGCTCACACACTGACTCCTTCACTCACTTCTTCATTCACTCATTCATTCACTTCTTTCCTCACTCCTTTACTCACTCACTTCTACCTTTAAATCACCCCCCACTCATTTGTCCACTCCTATATAGAAATGCTGAATTGTTAAACTGGTATGATGGATATGGATACGAAACTGCTGTAAAGGAAATTATGGTTGCCTCCATCCTCAATGTTTGTACCTCTGTTTTTTTTAGTTATTATAAATTAGTTTACAACATAATAAGCTGTATTTTGCATATTTAAATTGCTTGGTACACTTCCTTATGTGTGTAGGTAACAGATTAAAATAGCTGAAAACAGCACTGTTGTGTTTCAGATGGAAAGGGGTGGAGAAATCAAGAGCATCGAACTGCAGCATCTACCCACAGTCACCTGAGCTACTGGAAGGTGAGAAATTCAGCATGCTGCATTCACACACCCACCCACACACATGAACACAATGTGGGTTAAACATTGCGGGGGTAAAAAAAACATACAAAAACCCCCAAAACAATGAAACAGACAATGAACCAGGTATACCACACTAAATAATGCTAAGCAAATTCATTAGTACAGTGACTTTTTTGTTCAGCATTTTGCATAACTGAGCAGGGCCAATCAGCTTCATTGTGGTTCAGGCTTGTGATTTCCCAATAATAAAGCAAAACGTTTGACAGCTGTGCCTCTTCTAAATTTCTTTTTAATGAAACATTCAGTTGGTCGGTGTTCTAGAAGTACTGATGAGATCCACGACACACTCAATATCATATCATCATATCACCCACCTCTATTGGAGCTTTAGGCCAGAAACACACGAGTACGCAAACGCAGACGTTTTGAGCTGTGCAGACAGGGATGAATAGAGCTAAATTGTTTAAAATGAAAAATGAAACATGTTTTGGATCATTTGTGTGGGACATTCTTTTAATTTTGGAAAGTAGAAGGATGTGTTTCACTAAATAAATCAAAGACAACTTATCTGTATCTTTCCATTTTTCTATAGCAAACATGTTATGGGCAGTGGGACGCTAACATTACTGCTACTGAGTGCAAATTTTTTGGCAAGGTGCTCAGCTCATTGGCTGTGTAAAGAAGTTTGCTTGCATGCATTGATGTCATGAATGTACACAAGGCACCATTATAAAGTCATTTAACTTTAGTTCAAAAGTGGTCAAATATGTAACAGCAATGTTGAAACATTTTATGCTATTAGGTGTTCAGAAAATTTGTGCTTTTTTCTAAATAAAAATGATTTACAAACTATAATTTTGCACAAAAGTTCCTTAGCAACCCATTGCTCTAGCGTCTTTTCAAACCCTGAAAAACAGCCCCAGACCATTATCTCTCCTCCACCAAACTTATTGGCGCTAAGCATTTTGGTAATTCGCGTTCTCCTGGCATCCACCAATCCAGATTGGTCTGTCAGACTGTCAGATAGTGAAGCATGGTTCATAACTCCAGAGAACATGTTTCCACTGCTTCAAAGTCTAATGGTGGCTTGCATGGTGGACAGTTCTTAGTAATGTCTTTCACACAGAACGTGGTCTGCGCTGTGCTCACTGTTTACATCAGCGCAAGCACACCACTTGCTGTATGTGCAGTACTTAAGGGTTGAGCGCGAATGTGAGCGCCGCTTTCTGATAAAACTAACCTTTTATCCATGTTGTTGGGAACTACCAGACACACAGCTCTCCTATTGGCCCATTCTGAAACGTCCTTGCCCCCTTGAGTACAGAATGTTTTAACCACCACAGATAATGTAAGACCGCATGTCTAGTTTGTACAAGAAGACCAATGTTTCGGCGGGGGGTTGGCAGGGCATTAGCAGGGCGATTGTCACTTCAATTTAGTGCGTTTCTAGCCTTAGTCTTAGCTAGTCAAATGTTAGACATTTGTTTTCTTTTTATGTCCACTCAGTCCTGAAGTATCTCATTGAACCTGTATCAAGCTCCATCCTTCCTTATTTGGCATCATTCAAAGTAGGATTATAGTTCTCCTTATTTGTGTCATTGGATGGGCCATTGTAATTATAGTTAAAATTACTAAGGCAGGCATCAGGGACCCTGCAGCTGTACTGGAGGGAAAGTTTACAGTGTCCGGATCCAATTGGGTCAGCGGAGGTGGCCATGTTACTGGCTTTGCTGTGGCAAATAAGCCTCTTGTTTTTATTTCTTTTGAATCATGGGTCAATATTTTGAAATTATTCATAATTTATTGTGTTCCTGTTATCTGAGGGACCATATTAAAGGTTTGGCAGTTTTACCCACTATTGTGGCTTGGTGACCATCTATGCTTCACCCATGAATGTGTATATTCATAGAAACTTTTGCTAAACCTGTTAAGAAATTGTAGTTCAACTTTCTCAAATTTAGAATGTTTTAATAAATTTAGGTGATATTTATTTTGTACATGTGTGAGAGGTCATGCCATTGAGTTTTTTATTGTGTAAAAGGTTAGCATGATGGCTTATTTGTAAGTGTCATTTCTAACCGTAGTCATTTCCAATCCAATGCATCTTAGTGTTTAGATCGTCCTAACAGGTAAAGAGAGTGTTCAGTGTTATACTTGCTCTGCCGTTTAAGAATTAGCTTTGTACTAAGATGCTTTCAAGAAATACAGCTATGCTTATTTTCGATTAGCTATAATAAAACAGCTCTACAACAACATAGCCCTTAGTGTTACAAAGTGTCTGTAAACAAAGTATGTCAGCAACCTCACGACAGTTGCTACGAGAGAATGCTTTTATAGGTCATATCTGTAAGACAGTGGGTCTGTAAGTCTGTCTGTTCTCTGTCATGGGAAATGTACTCCAGGCTTTTGTTGGCAGTTGTAGGCCATTGTAAGCTTACTGAGTGTGTGTTTGAGTGATGCGTTTCCTCTCTCTGGTGCATCAGATCCTCCTGACCAGACGCTTCTCAGACACTCATTCAATGAACAACTCTGAAATATTTACTCAGAGGGGACACACACAGGTGTTGGGTGTTAGTTAAGTAATTAGAGAGGCAAAGGTGTTGTGACACTGGGTAACATCAGAGCTAGTCAGAGTAAAAACCTTCAGACGTACTGCATCTTTATTTAAATTCTTTAACAGCCACAGCGTCTAATATACAGACAATCTTGACACGCTGGACCCAACTGTGTGACTGTATTTACTGCATGTTTTTCATAATCTTAAAAAACATTGCGATTTAAAGGCATATATTTAAAATGAAATTCCACTGATTTTTCAAAATTTCTGTATAATGAAATGGTTAAGACAACAAAGTCATTCAGAATAGTTTAATGAGAAATGCCCTGTTTAAGAGAATTTTACAAAGTCAGAATTGTTCATAGTGGTGGTGTTAGGAACCAGATGTCTGAAGAGTTTAATGCTTCTTAAAGCTCCCTCACACAAAGGTATTACCTTGAAATGGTTACGAACACTCTGTCTGAGACATTGTTTCATGACAGTTTTAAGAAGATCTTGATCTAAAGCGATTTTTTATAAGGTAATTTTGTCCAAAGAAAACTTTTTATTCCAAATTCACCACTATATTGCCATCATCAATATTCTTTATAAAAACTCTGAAGACACGTGTAGGTTCATTGGTGATTGTGGATAGTAAATAAGATAGATATATTTGTGTTGTAGATAACCCCTGGTTCCTATCATTACCCCTGTAAAGAAGTGTGCTGGCTGGTAAGTTTCTCTACAATGAACCATTTCACATCAGATTACTCTGAATGACCTTTACTTCTCTGTGATTGAATTTTGCAGAATTAAAAAATCGGTGGAATTCCCCTTTAAATGCTTGAAACTCATTTCTAAGACAAATAGGAATGATTAAGTTGATGCAGTTCTATGCAGGTTTGTTTTGTTTTAATATATATATATATATATATATATATATATATATATATATATATATATATATATATATATATATATATATATATTAAATGCCCCCAACAAATTGTTGTTTCTGAACAAGTGCAATATGACCTTAGTCAGGATTTTGGAAAATCATTCCAGGTGGCTTGTCATGAAGCTGCTTAAGAAAATGCCAAGAGACTGCAAAGCTGCATCAAGACAAATGGCTGCTATTTTGATGAATCTAAAATAGTTTTAATATGGAATATAGTTCTATTTGTTTACCACTTTATAATTCACTGTATAATGCAATGGCCAAAATATATGAACACCTGACCATCACAGTTATATGAGCATGTTTGACATCCCTTTCCAAAACCATGGGTATTAATATGGAGTTGCTCCCCCTTTGCAGCTTACAGTGTGTTTCTGGGAATTTGTGCCCATTTAGTTTAAAGAGCATTTGTGAACTGTGAACTTGTTGCTGATGTTGTCCAGGAAGGCCTGGCTTGCAATCAGCGTTCTAATTTCAAAGGTGTTCAGCGGGGTTGAGGTCAGGGTGGAGTTCCTCCACACATCAAACATGTCAAACTTTGCTTTGTGTACAGGGGCACAGTCATGTTGGAACAGGAAAAGGCCTTCCCCAAACTGTTGCCACAGGTTGGAAGCATATAGTATTATTGTCTAAAATGTATACTTTAACATTAGCAATTAACAATGCCCTTCACTGTAACTAAGGGCCTGAGCCCAAACCCTGAAAAACAGCCCCAGACCATTATCCCTCCTCCACCAAACTTTTCTGTTGGCACCATGCATACCGATAGGTAGTGTTGTTCTGACATCATCCTCCGTAGACCGACAAATAGTGAAAAATAATTCATCGCTCCAAAGAATGCATTTCCACTACTCCAGAGTCCAGCAACAGCATACTTTATACCACACCAGCCGACACTTGGCATTGCACGTTGTAATTTTGGCTTATATGCAGCTGCTCAGCCATCAAAATCTATTTCATGAAGCCCCTTACACACAGTTCCTGTGCTGATGTTGCTTCCATGGGCAGTTTGGAACTACTGTAACAGAGGATATGTTTTTTTAGGTGGCATGTGGTTCAGCACTGGCGGCTTCGCTCTTTAATTTTACCACTTCATGCCTGAGCTGTGGTTGCTCCTAGACACTTCCATTTCCAACCCCTACTACTGCCATTGTTTGTGTAGAGAGATTGCCTGGCTATGTGCTTGATTTTATACACCTGTTAGCAATGAGTGTGGCTGAGACATGGATTAGGAGGGCCATATACTTTTGGCCATATAATGTACATATGCAATTTGTTCCAAAACATAAATATATATCTTAAATGCCCCCCAGCAAGTAGTTTGTTTTTGAACCAGTTTGGCGTGAGCATATGAGCATCTTCATTTGTCCTGTGGGAAAATTGTCGCTGGTGGCTCCTCATGAAGCAGCCTGAGAGAATTCAGAGAGTGTGCAAAGCCGTGTCATAGCAAAGGGGGGATATTTTGAAAAATCTAAAACAGAAGATAATTTTATTTGTTTCCACTTTATTATTCACTGAACAAAACCATGTGTTGTTACATAGTTTTAATTTTTACATTTTTCTACAAGCTAGCTAGCTAAATGAGCCTAGCTAGCCAGCGTTAGCTATTCCATTGTAGCTTTAACGCTAAGTTAAACAAAACAGCGATTTTGGTGCTTCCATTTTGCTTCACTTCAAAGAAAAATTGAGTAAGAATACAGTTTTATGTTTGAAATGATCTATATGGGTATTCCAGTTATTCCAAGGACCATATTCGCTTAACTAAGTGTTCGGGGACATGTTCAGTTAGCTCTTGTCGCGTTAAAATGTTAGCTAGCTAGCACAGTTAGCTAGCTTTTCCCAAAGCTGTTCTTTTCACAGTTCTGTGCAAGAATATCGTGATTCCACGTCCGTACAAACATTTCAGTTAAAAAACTCCTGTTACGTTATCCTAATAACAGCAGTTGTACCATAGCCCTCACGTCACCCTTTGTAATAACATGTAATGCTGATAGTGTGTGTACCCATCCAAATGTGTTTTATGCTGTGTAAACGTTCGTGTGACTAGCGGGTGTTTTCCCAAAATAATTAATTTTCAGTAATTTTCTATGTTTGGATATAGACGCCTTTTGTGTTATTTTGCAAACAAGCTCCTGCTGATGATACACTGTTAGCTGACGTAGTTATATTTGGTGAATTAGAAATGTAGGTAAAATCTGTTTTGGCAGTAGCCTACATTCACCATCTTCACTTTCTAAAATGTGGAAAATAGTGAAAACAAGGAAACTCTACTATGGGTGTGTCCAGATTTTTGACTGCTGCTGTGTAGATCTGCTTGAGAACAGTGAAGAAGATCCAGCTTCCTTTTGGTTGTTTACACAGATGTATATTATTTTAAAAATAGTGCAAGAACACGTCCGGTTAACCCCTTAAACTTAAAGAGTCTCTATGTTGGTCCACACATTCCTCTTTCTCATAACTGCATAACTTGCACATTAATTTCATAATTATTATTACTGAACAGTAGGTTTTAAGAATACTGCATAATCCTCCAGTTTATTGTTATGGCTCATTAGAACACATACACTATGTACAATAAGGTATAATATGCTGTCTGTACTCCGGATATGTAATTCATACAAGGATGTAGATGTCCTTTTCTCTGACATGTAAAGGCACAGTAATAGCAGTGTAGTTCAGTAGATTACCTGTGGTTTGGTGGGAGGTGTTCTTTTTTTGACAGGCTTTCTCCTACAGGCTACTCAAAAGCCATAACTGAGAACATTGTGTTTTACCTCTCTTCTATCCTTTCTTTAGCCTGTCTTCTTATCACTACCTGTAGCCTACTAACTGAGGAGTCACAGATAAGAGTATGGAACTGCTTTATGTTTGAAAGCTGCTGTCTGATAATGAGCTGATGAGTTGTATCAGGTGTTTTGAAACCAGGAAAAATATTTTTCCTGCTTATGCCTTTATCAATAAGTTGATTTCATCCAGTCTCCTAGTCTGATAATATCTCCCTAGTGGTATTATGACCATTGCCCTTTGTGAGCAGAACCCCTGACCTCTCAATCCACAGCCATGTTATTTTTCTCTTATTATTTAATTGTAAAGGTTTTGTATGTCATGTAGAGACAGAGCCAGCAGACACTTTCATCAGTACCAATGGTACCAAGGTATACAGTATCAGTCAAAATTTTAGACACACTTACTCATAGAAGGGTTTACTTCATTTTTAGCCTGCTATTTTACTCAGTTTAGAATAGTGGACATCAAACTATTAAATAACACATATGGAAATATTCAGTGACCATAAAAAATTATGTGGACACCCTCTTAGTCACTGATAATTATTATTATAACTTCAGTGGCCTCCACAGAGCCTTGACATTAGCCCAGAAGAGTGGAGGCTGTTACTGCTGCAAAGGGGGTTAATTTCATTTTATTGCACATGGAACATACACACACATATATACATATACAGTATGTCGCTGTTGTTGGAAGAAAACTTTGTATCTCCAAAATGACAACTTTACAGGAAAAGGAAAAAACCTACTTTACTTTTAATGTAAGTCAATGGAACCAGACTTTTTCCAAGTCATTTTGGGCTGTTTCTTTTGGTCCAATCGCCATGAAATTTGTACACAGTCTAAAGGGCAACAGACATATTCAAATTATGTCAAAAAGTGAAAAATGACGACAATGGAGATAGAAGGTTTTCTTCCGACAACAGCGGTATATATATATATATATATATATATATATATATATATATATATATATATATATACAAATGAACTTAATGTAGTTATGTTATAACTGAAGTTTTGGGGGAAGAGCATGCCTGAAACCTCTTCTCTTCCAATCTAATGCCCTGTAAATTCACATCCTCACCTTCCGTTCTTGTGACGAAGTGTTCGCAGTCCCCACTGCCACCCAATCTCCTTCCTGTTCCTCAGTGTTGCATCAGTCCTGCTACAGCTATGAGGGGGGATCTGGCCTTCTAGCTACAGGCAGTAGCTGCCCAGAACTCCAGCCCAAGTTCTCAGAGTTCTTCCCCTCCCTCAAGCAGTCTTCCCTCATACTACCACCACATGTTGAAGGCATGGTCTGAACTCACAAATGACATTATGCTGCCTGTTAGGGTGAAAAACACGCTCAAATACAAATTCTGGGAAAGGTCATTGTTTAGCCTGCTTCACCCACAATCGGCCAGCTGCTGTCTTTGGTAGTCTTAACTAAATACAGGTGCAGCACTGGTCTGCCTCAGGGTGGCACTGCAGCAAATTGGCCTGGGATGCCTCTGAAAAACTTTACATCATGCCGTAGCATATTTGTAAACCTGAAAACTAGGCCATTTCCCCAAGAGACTGGTGGAAAGACTGATACTCTTTCCTCAAATTGAAGACAAAAGAGGAGATTTGTAAGATCTCAATTAATGTGTGGAAAACTGCATTACCAAATTAGAAAAGAGCATTTCCATGTCTTGGTAAGAACTGTTCAAGCAGTTAAGCATGTCTAAACCTTTAACTTCTTTTGGCTTCTTGATGAAGGGTGTAGAGTGCAGCAGGAAGAGAAAGGGTGGAATTAAGTTATTTTGGAAATAAGAGTTTGAGGTGGGAGTAGCGAGGCGAGTGATTTTCTGGTTTTTAAAATGAGCATGATCATTCATGTATGTGATTTGATGTGGTTGCAGGTGATGCTCTTGATGTGCGTGTGTCTGCTGGGTCTTGTTGATGGGTTGATGCTTACAGAGGACAGAGAAGAGTCCCAGCCTGCTGCACTGAGGGCCGAAGCTAAAATGGCACAAAACCAGCAGCACCAGCCACGGTGGCAGAGCAAAACTGCCTGGGCTGACCTTTATGGTAAGTTCCAAATCTGAAATTTTATAGTGTGGGTATGCATCCAAATGGAATTGCAAGGTGTAGGGCAAAAATAATACCATGTGCACTACATGTCCAAAAGTTTATAGACATCCAACCTTTGGAACATTGCTATGAGGATTTGATTGCATTCAGTGTCTAAAGGTTGCTTTTTTATTTCTGCACTGGAGTTTTTACCTCAAAGGCTTTAAGTTGGCTGCTACTACTGTGATTCTTTGAAGAAATACTGCAGGGTTTTTCAGATTAACCTTCATGTTCCACGCAACTGTCTGTGTGGTCAGTTTACCAATACCAAAACTGGCAATACCTTTAAAAAGCTGTTGACTCAAAAAAAACCACTTTCAATAGATAAAAGCTTTTAATAAAAGGTTTTATGTTCTCTTCTGTTTCTCTTCCCTCTCGCTTCAGACCCCCTCTCTGCTCTTTCTTTCTTGCTCTCTCTGTTTTTCACTCTCTTTGTCATGCTGCATGGCCATTACCTTCTCTGTGATCCTCTCATTAAAGCAGAGGCCCTGTTTGGGTCTCTGAGAACATATCTGCTCAAATAAGACCAGATATCCTCTGCGGGAGGTAAATTGAATGGTCCAGCTATTGGGCAGCACTATATCCTCCTGTTCATATTAAGTTGTGGCTGTGCTTTCACAGAAAAGCTCCTGCAATGAGCTTAGATTGTCCCAGGTATCTGCGCCCTTGTCTTGGCCTGTATGAATGTTATCTTTGTAAGGCATCTCTTTCTCGGACGCTGTTGACATTTTCATTTGGATGCCGCTGTGTTCGGTCTTCTTACCCAATATGTTGAACATGATCAGATTATGATAAGAAGCTATAAATACAAGTTTGTTTTCCTTTCTGAACAAATCCAGATGTTTATAACTGTGCACAGAAAACAAAGCTAAATCTTAGTTCTGGCTTAAAATAAGTGTTCATTTGCTTTCTCTTTATAGTTAATATTTATGGCAGAGTGATATTTTTATGCTTATGACCAGCATTTATGGCAGTGTGACACCTCCTTTGCGGCATTTTCTTTTAAAGACACAGAGAAGAGTGCATACTGTACAGTACTGTGCAAAAGTCAGAGACCAACCTTAATTTATTTAATTTCCAGTCAAGACAGCCATTTAGTTGTTCATTTGTCAGGAAAAAAGTAGAAAACATATATTTAACAGAGGATTATACAGAATATAATATTAAAATTTAGTATTTGGTGTGTTCAAGCTATTATTACAGTTTCCATGCTTTTCTGGAGGCTTGCTTTCAGTTTTTTAAGAAATCTGCATGGGTATTTTTCCACACCTCCAAAGTTCAGTCTTTGGTTGCATTTTCTGCTTCTCACAATCCAAGTAATCTGAAACACATACAAACTTTTGTCCGCTAACTCATCCAGCAGTTTTTGAGATCTCAAGACTGTCTCAGCTCTGGAATGTTCAGCCTGATTGTTAATGTTGTGCTTGTATGCAGGTTTTGATCGTACATACGTTTTTTTGCGCAATTATTGTAAATGATGTTTTTTACCCCCATAGGAATGAAAACGGGGCAAAAGCTTGTGCACCCAACTTATATTATGATGGTACAAGTCTATTTGCAATGCCATTTTAACCATGCTGGGTACCAAAGCAACCACCTGGCAACACCCAAGCAACCACCTGGAATACCATAGCAACCACCTTAGCAAAACCTAGCAAGCACCTGAGATATCATAGGAACCACTTAGCAAGACCTTAGGAACTACCTGGGATACCATACTAATCACCTAAAGTATCATAGTAACTGCCTATAAACTTAGCAACAATATGGGAATCGATTAAGCTTTGCAATCACTTTTTCTTAAGGAAATGCACTTTTCTAGTTATACAATACTGAGCATTCAGTGATCACTTTTCATTTTTTTAATTACCAGTCAAAATGTCCATGAGGTAAAATTGTGGTGTGGACTCTTCAGAAATATCTCCTAAAAATTGAAGAACTTAATTAATGCCAGTTTTGACTGGAAATTAAATCAGCGAAGGGTGGTCTCTGACTTTTGCACAGTACTGTACATAATACAGTGTATTGTAATGTGGTTAACGCATTCAAAATGTGATTCCAATAAAATGAATACATATGAATATGAAAATGATTAACAGTGCGTGCTTTCCATTTATTCAGGATCTGACTGTACCTAGACAGAGCGGATATTTTCAGCAAGACTAGATAAAACTACTCAAGCGTCTTGGTGGCAGGTTTTGACACAGCAAATTGCTCTCTGGATCAGGTTTAGAAAGCTAATTACCCCACTCGTCGCCTTGGGGAGAATCCTGATTCATATTTTTATTTTGTCCTCAATGCTGAGTTTTAACAACTGTCATTAAGCACTGACAGCGTGACACAGCTTGTCCTCAAAGCATGTGGATTCTCAGTACTGACATGAAGAGTGAATTACTCTGTGCTGTGTTGGTGTATCCGGCGTCAGTAACAGTCTCTTACTGTCATTTATGTTGTACTGTGGTAGGCGCACTTAGTGAAACAGCAGCGTTCTGCTGATAAGCTTTGGAATTTCACACCAATTTGCTCTCAGCCGAGAGTTGCATATTGCTCCACTATCAGCTGTTGAAGTGTGAATTGAGAGCAGATCTTTCTAAATGCCACTGTGGCGTCATACGCCAGGGTCTTGTGACAAGGAACCAGTTAATGATCTTCAGTAATGAAATTACCCTGCCTGGGAGAAGCTGACAGTTTGCCTTTCTAAATAATGTTTGTCATTCACAATTACTGTTTAATATTTTCAAATAAAAGGAAAACACCTACAAAGGTTTTGTAATAGGGATACAATATAATGTATCGGAATCGGCACATAATTGCTTAAAAACAAATGATCAGTAATGGACAAATATTTAGATTTGACCAATATTTTAAAGGCAATATTAGAAAACAGATAGTTCTGGTGTAACAAAAATATTTGACACTGTCAAAGTTGACGCATTGAGAATAAACTCACATTTGCATATGTATAGTGCATAAAAAGTTTATGCTCGCATGTGTAGTGGTAAGACTAAACATGCTGTTCCTGGAGATAAAGAGGTTACTCTGTTGAAAGAATTTAGCTAGCTGACATCGAACCAAAAAACACCACTTGATTATCTTCTTTAGGTACAGTTTACATTGCAAATGGTGACCTCTGAGAATCATTTTTTAGGCTGAGAACTGTTGTAACATTACTTTATTAGTCACCTATCCAACAGGGCTGTACAACAAATTCAGTAGCACAAAGGAAGCAGACAGGAGTGTAAACATGATTTTTTCATTAAGCAAACTGCCTTGATCATTCAAAAGCAAAGTGAAATTTTTACAGACAATGTAAATTACAACCCAGTAAGTTTAACATAATATGAAAGGCTGTCTTTGTCTTCTACCCAAGGTAAATTATCTTCTTTTCCAGTACTGCTGTCTTTGCCACATTGACTGATGGTATGTCAACAATATAGCGACAGTGACAAGTGTGATGTTTTAATGCTGCTTGCATGGACCACCAAATAAGAACCTGGTTCTGTTTAAACCCTTAAATGGCCAGGGCCCAATGACAGGTCCAGTGTTTTACCACACACTTCTATGACCTAAGAATAGCTCAGCTAGTTTGCATTGTAGTATGTGTAGTTACTGAATAAGACGTCTTAGTATGTAATAAGCCTGGGATTTTAAGGGGTTAAACTGAGAGACTGACTTAATTTCTCAAATAGAACTGGGCTGATCAGCTAACTAACAGGTTAAAAGATAGCTAAACGACTAATTGTTCAGTATAGAGTTGGATGAATCCCAAATTATGGCTTGTTTGCCATGTTATCCACTGTGTGCAGGAGCCAGTTTTTTATTCTTATGTAGCACACTATGAGGGAGTCATTTGAGATTCAGCCCAAGCATGGGAAAAAGGAACTACAACACATTTAGCTTGGTGCTAAATAAAACTGAAAATTGCATAGAAGGGCCAATGGACATCCTTTGCAGTGATACTTTGATGAGCAAAAAGTAAATGTCTATTGTTGTTAATGAGGAATTATTTACAGAAAAATTGTATATTTTTTCACATTTTATGTTGTTTGCCATTTTAAAAAAAGCAACCTGCTTGCATTACACAGACTTAACATCGTGCCCGTGATGATATCTTCATAACACATGGCCTCTCATGGTTTATAGCTTTATTTAATAACATTTAATGACATCATTTTTTGGTGACATTTGGGCTACTGCCCTAAAATGTCTGCATTTTATTCATTTACATTTATGTTTATCCAGAGTGATTTACAGATGTAAGCAGAGGCTTAGCAATCTTGCCCAAGCACTTGGTAGCAGTATTACTCACTTTGCTATACCAACCGCATTTTACTGCATTGTAACCCTGGTGGGTTTAGTCCTAATTTCTATCAGCGTCACAGATATGTACATGAAAAACATCGGAAAGATTTCCTTCATATTTAGCTTCATGTTTATCAAATTGTCTTCCTTGATTTGAGATCTTGCCTAAATTAAAACATCTGAAGTGCTTCCATGCTGATGAGTGCTGACAAGGGGATGAAATATGTGGCCTTTGGCATTTTTCCCAAGGTAGGGCTTTTGCCAGCTGTTCCTTCAGAAAAATGAGTCAGATGATATGTGACTTGGGCAGGTCGATAATGCACGATACATATTCATGATATTCACAAAAAGACACAAGGCAGATAGACCACATCCATCAAAACTCTGGGCACTGTGATTTTTATTGAATCTTTACCATCCTGTACTGCAGTTAATCCATTTAAACAGAACTAATTTTGCAGAAATATGTAGTTGTGAAGTGTTCTTTAAGTACTACTGATGTTCACAATATGCTCAGAAAACCATACTGTTTACCACAACAACAAAATTTGTTACGATAATAAGATATTGTCACGTTGCCCACTTCTAATGTTAACTGACAGTAGATGGGCAAGTTATCATTAAAAACATTTACACAAACAAACCTTTGATGAGAAGATATGTTCATATGCAAGTTTCATGATGCAATGCTTTTTTGCACGTCAATGTTGCTGATACAGAATTAGAAAAGAAATGCTAACATAACTTTTACATTTATTTATTTTTATTCATTTATGTAACCTTCTAACTTAACCTTCTGGCAGAAATGAGTGAGAGGAGATTTTAATGGCTCAATCACTTACAGCAAACTGTGGAATCCAGGACTCTACAACCAAGTATATCAGAAGCTATAAAGATTCCTGTTGAGTTATTTGTTTCACCCATTTAGAATCAGCACTTGATGGCTGCTTGGTGGAATCCTGTTGGAAGTAGCTGCTGTGATTCGTGTTTTCTTCTTGTGCTGGTAACTGAGCCATCTGGGTGATGTCTTTACTTATGAGTTAGCATAGTTAAGATGTTAGCAGCAATACTTACGCAGTGATAGAACACTATAACTTTTCATTCTAACACTTTTTGCCCTTAACTATTCTACTCAACTGGGAACCTAAAATGTTTGCTAAGCAGGAGAAAAATCTGAGTTTACTTCACCTGTTCCAGCTTAAGCTTGCTGTGGCTAATCTGTGGCTTGACTAATCAACCATGCAAAGTAGAAATCCAAATTTCTACTATAGGCGCCAAAATGTAATTACTGCACTATTTAGGGTAGAACAGAAAACTTTAGCATCCTCCAGGGTAGGCTAACCAAACGGTGAGTTTTGCAGCAACGTTTTTTATGCTCATGGTTACAATTTTTAGGAATACCATTATTGTGTTAAAAAAACTATAGAAACCAATCCCATCATCACATATTTTATAACATGAAGTCTAACTGTACTCAGTTCACAGCACATATTGTCTTCTGACCCCTGTGGCAAGAAAAAAAATGAATATTAACATGCGTATCTTGACACCCGTAGCCTGAATTTATTCAATTTTGAATTTAAGGTGATGACAAATTTGATTCAGCTTTTAGATTCTCAATCATTTCTCTCATTTATCAGCATGTGAAACTACTTTTATTTACCCTCTCTCCTTGTAGACCCATCCTTGGTGGAGGAAGGTGAGGAGTTCAAGAGCAGGTGGCAACGTTCTCCAGCAGGCTCTGCTGCTTCCGGAAAAAAAAGAGGCAAGGACCGCAAGAGCCGAAAGCGGCACAGAGACAACGGGGACTGTCGTCTGGAGAAGAAGCAGCTGCGGGTGCGTGACCTGGGGCTGGGCTACGATTCGGATGAGATTGTACTGTTTAAATACTGCGTGGGGACGTGTGAGAAATCCCGCAAAAACTACGATGTGGCACTCAAATACTTAATGGACAATGGTGGTATCACAGAACCCAAGGTTAGTACTCAGCCCTGCTGCCGGCCAACACGCTTTGAGACTGTCTCCTTTATGGATGCTCGGACCATCTGGCAGACCATCAGATGGCTCTCTGCGGCCAACTGCAGCTGTGTGGGATGAGAAGGGCCAAGGACGCAGCTGGATAAATGAATCAAAAGCTCCTGGCTGGAGGGGGAGCAGGGTACTACTCCTTTCTCTTCTATGAGACCTCAGCTTGAGAGCTAATGCAAGAGCTTGCCAGGACCGTGTAGTGAAACACCAAGTCGGTTGTGGAGGAACAGCACCAGGGAAAGTAGCACAGGGAGGCTCCAGCTGTAGTGCGCCCTGCTGGAGAGAGGTTTACTACAGCAATCAGTGGAAGAGCAGCGTTCTGCTGATGAGTTTTGTAATTCCACACCAATTTACTCTCAGCCAAAAGAGAAGTTACTAGCTGTGGGATAGTGAACTTAGAGCATCAGATGTTTATAGATCCAACTGTTACATTGGACAACTGTGGAACCAAGGAATAGTTTGATGAAAAATCACGTTTACACAATTGTCCATTCACCCTAAGTGTAATCAATCAGCCAAGACATGTTTGACATCTTAAGTTTGCTTTGTTACTTTTGTACTGGTTCTGCAAGGCTAATGTAGCTAACAAACAATGGAAGCTTTGTTGAGTTGTTAGTGCCCATATCACTTTCCATACTGTCCAAGCTGAAGCTGAAAAAAACAGCTTGTTCTGAATTTTTGTGATGTCACAAAAAACAGCACACTATTCGGGCCTACAGCAGTTTAGCCCTGTCCATTCATGATGAATCTACAAGGAGTGTTTTTAGCCTGGAATGCTTTTTCAATGAGGCACATTACAGGGCAGCCAATCAGAACAGAGCTCATATATGTCCGTCTTAAAATCACAATAAAAAATCACAAAAACAGTCAATGTTAGGTTGTTTTTGTACATAATCCCCCAGGGGCTATCATGGGGGGAAAAAGAAGAGAAAAATTTAGCTTTTGCTTGTGTGGTTTCTGACACTGTATGACATACTAGTATCTATAAAAATGGAAAAAAAACGTATGCTACATAGCTAAAAACGGTAGTAGCAGCCCCTTGGGAAGTCTTAGACATATCATCAAATGTCCTTTTGGGAAGGTAGTTTGCACAATGCTAATTAAGGGTGTATACACTTCCATTACTTGTTAGCTGCCTTAGTCTTGTAGCTCAATTGCAAATGTCAGACACCAAATATTTTGCTAATTGACTGCAGCGCTTTGCTGGGAGATTGGGAGAGGAAGCACAGCTGAACTGTTCTGAGAAAGAACAGCCTCTGAAAGCTCTACAGACTGCGAGGCTTTGACTTAACTGGAACTTTATAGCCATGCTCTTTGTGTGGAAACAGGATGGTTGGTAGTAAGAAGAACATAACTGTTTTGAGATTCCTCTATAACCCATTTGCAAATGCTCAAATTGCAAACAAACTGGTAAAACTAATCTGATTGTCAACAGTGTTGAGCTTTTGGTTAGGATTTAGACCAGAATTAGAGTTAAGTTTAAGTAGTGGGTTGAGAATAAGGCCTGAGTTAGATTTAGGTTCAGTGTTAGATTTACATTTAGGTTTTGGGTTGAGGTTAAGGTTAGGGTTAGAGTGAAGGTTAGGTTTAGGGATAGGTTTGAGGCTTAGGTTTTGGATTGAGGTTAAAGCTGTACCATGTCAGATTTTTTTTGTTAAAGGGCCCATATCATGGAAATCTGAATTTCTCTCACTTTTTGAGATAAAGGAGTTTTGAGTAACATGTAAACATTGTTAAAGTAAACATACCATTTGCTTCCTGATCCATACAGTCCATAACTAAGCCGCACAAATAATCCATTTTGAATTTGTTATTTCTGCAATGTCACAAAAACTTACTCATTTACATACAGTGGAGTCCAAAAGTGTGAGACCTTTGGTAAAATGCTTCTATTTTGCATTCATTACTAATTTAATACAAATGATCAGCATAATAATTGAGTATAAAGTAGAATCTTTGAATTTCAGAATTTCCTAGTATTTGTTATGTCCCCCTTTTAGCTTTAATCACAGTTGCCCACACATGCCCTCAAGCTTGCATGGGCTCCATATGTTTGTGCAAAAACCTGTGACAAGTAGATCAAATCCACCTTACTTCTCATAACATTTCTTTGTTTTAAAATTTTCAAGATTCTAAAACTCTCTGTTGTTTATTTTCAGGTTTAAATTAAATAAATACCAGATTTTCAATGTGTTTTCAAGACTTTTGGATTCCACTGTTTGTCCACCTTTTCAGCCTGCAGGAGTTTAGCCCTACTCATTCATAGTGAAGCTCTAAGAAGCAGCTCTGAATGTTTTTTGAATGAGACACATTCATAATTCCAAGGGATAAATAAAAACTGGAAATGGTCATGTCAAAATAAAGTATGACCGTTTTGGTGCATAAAACAACACAAACGTCATAAGTTCACCTCAGGGGAAAAATTAAACACAAGAAAAATGTATGATATGAGTCCTTTAAAATGTAACAAAGTAGCATTACTGAGTCAGGAGAAAAAAAAATGTGCTAAAATATGGTGTTTGTTTGCTGCTGTGAAGCCTGTAAAGCCTGAAATAGTAATTCAAATGTCAGATGTTTTGAAATGGATTTTGCAGGGGTTTTTTGAGCCACATTATGTATCTTTATATATTAACATCACACGCAGAAGCTCAGAAAGAAGGTCTGGCTCGATGTTTAGGCCTCAAATGCAAAATCAACATTATACTGATGAAGATATGATGAAGACAGTAGTAGATAATTCACTCACATCCTTAGAAGACAGGTTTTTCGCCAAGTTTTGAGTTCTTTTTGAATAACCTTTCAACCTGCTCGCAATCATCAGTTTCATCCACTTGGGGGAGGGGTCCGAAGCACAACTGAAGTTACAAAATGTCCTTCTGCTCTTTGTGTACAATTAAACATTTTCACCAGAGAGGTCTCCAAAACCAAATCTTTCATAGCGCAGCTTTAAGGTACATTTAACAAATGTTTAGTTGAATGTAATCAATTCAATTTTCAATTTTCTCACTTCAATCTTCCGTCAGTCTGCAGCTTAGTAGCAGAAAGGCTTCACTTCAAAGCTCACTTCAATCTTCCTTCAATCGGCAGCTCAGTAGCAGGAAGGATTTGCATTACATTCGAAAGGTGGGCAAAAGTATGAACAAAAATTAGGCGTCAAGATGTCTGCCACTACTGTTTTTAGCTATTCAAGAAATGTTTGTCCATTCTTCTAGGGAACAGTATGTCATACAGTGCCAGAAACCACATAAGCAAGTTTATAAGAGATTATTTAATTAACTCCACATGGTTTAAAGCAAGTGTTCGATGATTTAGATGTGATGCTATTTAGAAAGGGGTAAGCTTCCATTACTTGTTAGCTACATTAGCCTCGTAGCTCCAGTGCAAAACATCAGAAACCAAACATCTCATTGCTCATTGACTACATTAGGGGTAAGCGGCATATTGTGTAAATTGGATTTTTCACCTTTTATTCCTTTAGAAGTTCAGTTTTTTATGCTTTGATGGGATTTAAGCTGTTACAGCACATGCTTATTTCCTGACCTTACCTCATCGGCTTTTCTGCATTGTTGTTTGTATTTGTATTTGTATCTTAATGCTCCTGTTACTGTTTGATTTAACCAAACTGTTTTGAGACCAGATAGGATTTACCCATGATATACATCTTATTTTTATGCTACATTCTTAAAAATAAAGGTTCTTGCTTATAGAAAAACGGTAACACTTTATTTGGATGGTCCACTGTAGATGCTTTGTAGATGCTCAGTCTATCTTTAACTAACATTCAAATAAATATCTATTAAATGCAACTGAACTTGAAGTTACTTGTTAAAGTTTCTATTAAATCTATCCTTAACCCTAAATCTAATCCTAACCCTAACCTCAAGACAAACCTACACGTACTCTTAAACCTAACCCTAACCGTAATGTTTGTGATAATCAACTGAGTATCACCAGAAAGCTTGTTAATAATTTAAGTATCTGTAGATCATCTATAGGGGACCATGCTAATAAAGTGTGACTGGAAGAACATTTAATTGGTGTAGAAGCTTTACATTATGTGGAGCTTCTTTTAACCTTTCACATTTACAAAAATGTTCCTTTAAAGAACCATGCACTGAAAGGTTCTTTGGGGAACCAAAATGAGTTCTTCTATGGCATTTGCTCCAAATAGCTCTTTTGCCTTTATAAGAGTGTTTTGACTTAATCTTCAGGTTCAGGTGAACTATTCACTGGGCATTACATAAAGAATCTGAGGCAAGAGTCTAAATTTAGCTGAAGGTGCTGCTGTGCAGAGGGCACCTGCAGGATGGTGAAGCGTCATATCATTAAACGGCTCTTATAGCTTTCATGTGTATAAGGAAGTCTTCACTGGATGAGCTCCCTACAGGGCATATAACTTCAACACAGATTTTAGCTTCATCGTTGTGCGATTCATTGAAAATACATTTCCTTGATACAGTGAAGGCTGTTTTTAGCTGTCAGTCAGTTCACAGTTTCAATGCAGGCAGCCAGTTCAATGTGAAAGCAGGCATGATATGACATGAAAGAAAAACATATTGATGGCCTTCTGTGGTTCAGCAATAATTCTGTGTTGACAGTATTTTACATTGACTGTTTGTGTCAACCAAACATTGCCAGATCAACGTAACACTTTACTGTGAGCCATGTTTATAAGGCTACATGACACCTGCATAAGCCTACATGAACATTTTTTCCTAACATTAGGTTCTCACGATCAGGGTTTGAATTGTGGCAGAGGTCTTGGGGGTCTTCCCCTGGTGGATAGTCTGCCTATGAAGTGAGCTATATACTGTTTATTTATTGATTATATTTTCACGGTGTGAGGTTTACCCCTATAGTTGTTTTTCACCAGGCAGAAGTTCATATTAATATCAATAAATGTTTTTTTTTTTCACAACTGGGAAGAAGACATGCCAAGTAGATCGAATAGCCTACTTTTAATGAAGTAAAATCTGTTATTTAGGCTGTAAAAAGAACATAGACTTCTCATCTCAGTGTACATCACGGTGACAGAATTTCACTAATATGATCTGGTCAAACAAAGGGCC